CGAGAAATTAATGTTATATGATACTACAAATATAATTGAAGGCTCCAGAAGAGCTAATATATTATTACTGAAAGACACAAAGTTGCATATTAGAAATGCATTATATTTTTCTAAGTCTTATAGAAACTTATTGAGTTTCAAGGATATTCGTTTAAATGAGTTTCATATAGAAACAAACAATGAAGAAAATGTAGAATATCTTTATGTCACGAAACTCCACTTGAATAAAAAGGAAGTATTGGAAAAAATATTTGCGTTTTCCTATGGACTGTATTGCTCATATATTAATACAGTTGAAACACATACTATTGTAAACTAGAAGTTTACAAATCAAAATAAATTTGAGGTTTGGCATGATCGGTTGGGTCACCCTAAGACTATCATGATGCGAAAAATAATTGAAAATTCATGTGGAAATTTATTGAAGAGCCAGGAGATTCTTCAATCAAATATTTTTTCATGTACTACTTGTTCCCAAGGGAAGTTAATAATCAGATCATCACCAGCAAAAATTGGGGGATGAATCTATCTTATTTTTAGAAGGGATACAAGGCTATATTTGTGGACCAATACACCCCCCATGTGGACTATTTAGATATTTTATGATTTTAATTGATGCATCAACAAGATGATCACATGTTTGTTTATTATCAACTCGCAACCAAGCGTTTGCAAGATTATTAGCTCAACTAATTACATTAAGAGCTCATTTTCCTGACTATCCAATTAAGAAAATTTGTTTGGATAATGCTGGTGAATTCACATCTCATTCTTTTTATGAGTTGATTTTCCCAACATCAGGGGGAGAACACAAATAGCTAGAAAAAGATATTAGTTGGAATGAATTATCACTATCTCATTTTGATCATCGTACAAAACAATGTGAACTAGAAGTTCAAAATATAATTCATTTGCAAAATCTAGCCAACCATTTACCAAATGTATTCACAAATACAAAAAGGGTGACTAAGTCATATGTACCAGCGGCTAATGCTCCAATAAGAGTCGAAGTCTCTGTTGGACAATTTAATACTACAAACGAGTCACAAATACGCCTGAAGTGTGGTAGACCAATTAGTTCCAAAGATAAGAATCCTCAAATAAAAAAGGGAGCTAAAGAGCAAAATGATCAAATTGAGGATGTACAAACTCAAAAATATTTCTATGACATAACTAATATTCTAGTTCTATAAGAAACTCAGGTACCTGAAATTATTGAAAATGAAGAGATCTCAATAAATTATGTCATCAATGGAATACGATGTAATCGAAAAAATGTAAATATTGATGATGTATTTGCACATAATATAGTGCTAAATTAAATAAATGATATTGAGGATCAAGAACCAAAGTCCATCAACGATTGTCGACAAAGAAATGATTGAGCAAAATGGAAAGATGCAATTGAGGCAGAATTAGACTCATTTGCTAAACGAAATATTTTTGGAACGGTACTACGTACACCAAAAGGTGTAAAATTTAACTTTCATTCTCTTCCCTCCTCCTACCAAATTCCACCCAACTAAACATGATGCTTTTCTTCCGTTAATTTTGTTTTTATTTTTTATTTTGGGCCAAGCTGAGTTGAATCCAACAACTTCATTTTACATTTTCTTCAGGGCCCTTATTAAGTTTATTTAAGCCCAACAAACGTTTGCCTTTTATTTGTTGTTCTTTTTCTCCTATATCAAATCGAACCCAATCACTGTAAAAAAATGTTATATATAATAACATATAAAAGTATTATTATAAGTATAATATATGTATGTATATATTTATTTGATATATAACTAAATATAGTTTTAATATTAATTTTAAATGAAATTTACCAGCATATTTTATGTATCAGTATAATTTATACCCACATATTTTAACAATATATCAATATATATTTTATTTATTGTATGAGTAAAAATAATTTTTATATGTATCACTATATTATGTGTGTTATTATATGTTAATTTTCTTGTAATGAATTTTACCTCTATTTTTTTTTATTTAAGATCCTTAGTGGGCCTTATATTATTATTATTTTTGCTGCTTGCACCGTCTAATTTTCTATATATTCCTTCTCGTTTCTGTTTTTTTTTCTTCCTAAACTCACCTGCAGGACTGACAATGGAAGGAGTTTTGGGAAAGGCTCATGATATATACACCTCCTTTTTTCTACAAGTACACCTCCTTTATTTTTTTTTAAAAAATTATTAAATATTGTAAACTTTTTTTTAATTTTTTAATTTTACACCTCCAACTTTTAATTTGTTACTTTTTTCTTCTTTTTCACATACTTTTTTTTTTCTCTTTTAGTTTTCACATGCTACCAAAATAGGTGTAGTGAAAGAAAGGTAAGGAAGTGCATGTAAAAATTGAAAAAAGAAGGAAAAATATGTAAAAAAAAGTACTAAATTAAATATTGTGGATGTAAAATTAAAAATTAAAAATTAAAAAAAAATTAAGAATATTTTAAAATTTTAATTATTTTTTTTTAAAGGAGGTGTACTTATAGAAAAAAGGAGGTGTACTTATAGTATTTTCTCCTTTGTTCACACCTTCTTCATTCTCTCTTTTAATTTTCACATGCATCTCTTTATCTTTCCTCACTCTTCACCTATTTTAGTAGTTAGTTTTAATTCTTTTAATTTTCACATTACTTTCTTTCTCCCTCTCCTTTTTCAATTTTCACACGCCTTGGATTGTAGAACTGTGCTTGAAGGTGTTGTAGGCATATGCAACTTCTTTGATAGTGTCAAAGATGTTGAGATAGACAACTATTTTTTCTTCTAACAATTCCTCTCCTTTCACACTTCCAAAAACCTCAATATTGTAAAAATTTGGCTAAAACTCTAATTTGGTCCCTTATAAAATTAAAAAATTTCAATTTGGTCCCACTCTAATTTTTAGTTTCAATTTAGTCCCAATTTATTTTAAAATTTTCAATGTGAGACTTCAGTCCAAATTTCACAAACAGTGTTAAAGGTCCGAGAGAATCACGCCCGTGATTCCAAATCACGGTTGTGATTTAATAATTAGTTGCTTAATTAGTGGATGCCAATATTCATTAGCAATCATTACCATTTATATTTCCGTTATATATTATTCCTTTTATTATGTAAATATTCAGTTACCACGTGTACTTATAAATAGGTTAGTCCTCTCCCAAAGATAATACACCAATTAGATTCTTTTCTCCATCTCATATTGTCTTATTTATTCTCTCTATTTTTCTTCCTTTTATAACACAATGACTATTTTTGACATATATGTTGTTATTATGTACGTCAAGGACGGAGCCAAGGGGGGACCTACGGGTGCCACGGCCCCCCCAACAATTTTAATTTTTTTTTATATACATATATATTACTATATGGCACCCCCTATATGGCACCCCCAGTATTGAAATCCTGGCTCCGTCCCTGATGTACGTTATAAGTATAAATTATATACTAATATTTAGACTTTTTATGCAAGTGTAGTTTATAGTATTTCATAACTGGTGGGGTTTCGACACCTTCAAATCTTAAATTCAACAAAAACTAATAATGTTTAACATTGAAAAAAGTTTATATTTTAGTTATTTTAGCGGCTAGCGAGTGAATGGATTTGAACTAAATGGTGTTGAAGATTTGATATTTCGGTAAAATATGTGTACGTAGACTTAAAAAAGGAAAATGAAAATTATCATGATACAATAGTTATCAAAATTATCATGATATATATTTTATATTAATATAATATTTATTAATAAAAATTATTTTTATTTATATTATAGATATAATATACATTAATATATTATTAAAAATATAGATATAAATTATATTGACACACAATATATATTATTAAATTTTATTAAAAATTAATACTAAAATTATGTGTAATTATATGTCAAATAAATTTATATTTACATGTGTATGTATAGTAATATTTTTTTTGGTATGTTATTGAATATAATATTTATTGTAAATACTGTTATTTTAAAATACATGACTTTATTATGAAACCCGAGAACTCATTGTCGTATAATATATATTAGCACATAGCTGGATAATTTTAGTTGTAATAATGGAATATTATGTTTGTACACATTCAATAAATATTAGCACATAATCTATTAAAACTGGATAATTTTAGTTGTAATAATAGATTATGTTTGTACACATTCAATAAATATTAGCACATAATCTATTAAAACAGGTTATATGTGCTAATATAATGTGTAAACATTCATAATTCCAAACTTAAATTTAAATTGGCATTAATTAAAATTATAAATCGAACTAAAAATGTTTATAATAATTTATGTCCATTATTTCAATTGAGCTGGAATGTTAAATTTGACGTACCTTATTACAACAGGCACATAAAAAAATTATATCTATGAAAAAAAATATAAAAAATGAAAAAAGAAAAGAAAAATATAACTCTTAAATATACTATCCTTCGACATGCTAAATACTCAAATTATTTTATTGTCCAATTATTTTACCAAATTTCTTTATAACCTATTCTTTATCAATAGTTGCACCGTGTAATATTTCAAACCTTTTATTTTCAGATATTTAAAGCCATGAAAATTTAGGTAATTTTTTTTTTTTTTTTAATTCTGGAGGTTAAAATGAGTAGTAAAACTGTTTTGAACTTATTATCTATCGATATTGATTAGCATAAATAATAATAATTTATATTTCTTAATCAAATTATTCAGAATTTAAATTTTGATTCAAGTATTAAATAAATTATGATAGGTGAATAATATCCATGTTATGTACATTTACATCGATAAAAAATATAATTTATTAATTCTAAATTTTCATACTAAGTTAAACAAAACAGTGAACTTATTAATTCATATTTTTTATTATGATGACATTTTATATTTTAGATATTATTTTTAAGAGATAAATAAGAGATGGACCTGAGCCATGTTCCCTCTTGGACCCATTTGCGTGCAAAGCCCAAGCCCACATCCAAAGGAGTTTAATTTTTGAAGCCCAGCCCCTTTCACGTTTGGGAACATGCAGGTCAATTTCTCTTCAATTGCTGAAAATGAAACCCTTGCTGTGAAAACCGCTCGGTCTTCTTGTGGAAGGGCACACACTTCAATAAGAAGCTCGATCCAAATCCGATTGCCGGTAACTCATTTATTTCCTCCTTTAATTCATTGTCTTGTAACTAGCGGAGTTATCTTTTCTAAGTTCTGCTTGATTGTTTTATGACAAATAGTTTGGATGTAAATTAATTTTGATTCCAATCTTTAGATAATTTTGTTTGCTATGCTTCGAATTTGGACGATAGTAATATACTAGGTGAACCGAAGGAGCTTCATTTCTAGTTGGGATTTAGACTATAATTGGATTGCTATATTCTAATTTCTAACCCAAATGGCCGGACGTTGAATCATATACATGCTAACTGCAGTAGCCTCTGCTGAAATTCTGTGTGAATAAGCCAAGAAACAGAAAATTGAAAATAATATTCAGCAATCATCCGTACAGTTAATTTGACTAAACATTCTTAATTCATTAACTGAGTTTAATAACTATTTTTTTTTAATTTTTTATTAACTTATCAATTCTTTTTACTACATATAGCCTTTATGCAGTATTAAATTTGTTTGAAGTCTCACACGAAATGTGGGGAAATAATATATATTTTTTTAATTTAATTTGAGGCTTTATTTTAGAATTATTAGGTCCAATTAATTGAACGATGATGAAGCTCTGATCATCTGCATCTGTGACTGCAACACCGTGACATGATGTTGACAATGATCATCATTGTGCTCATCACTTCCTTACTCGTGGGGTTTTTCATTGGTCCAATCAATGGCAGACGGCAAAGGAAGAGAGCTGTTGGGTTCTTCCATCCGTACACCAATGATGGCGGTGGTGGAGAAAGGGTGTTGTGGTGCGCTGTTAGAGGCATCCAAGAGGAGAGACACGACCTTGACTGCTATGTATACACTGGAGATCATGAAGCCACCCCGCAATCGTTGATGGCTCGGGCCCTTGATCGCTTTGGGGTCACGCTCCTCTCTCCTCCAAAGGTACCCTCTTTTCACCATTCTCTTATCTGGGTTCTTTTCTATCTGATTATGGCTCTATCTGAGTGGGAAGTGATTTTTTCAATTGAAGTAATGATGAGAGGATAGATGATAGGGAGAATTGAATCTGCTAGAGTACTTGTCTAGATTTGTTGGCGAATTTAGTGTTATTAGAATATTAGTCAACCATGGTTGTTATTTTAGCCGTTAATTAGTCCTCCAGTTGGTTCAGTTCTTAGTGCACTTGTAATCTCATATGAATAAAATGGGCTGTCAGTTTTTCTCTCTGTTAAATGAGTGGATTACAATCAAAGGATCCAATTGTCCTTCTTAAGCTCAGGTGAAGTGTTGAGTTGACAGGCTCAAGCAAGGTCTTGAATAGCCCATTGATGATTTATCCCATTTTGTTCTATGGATCAAACATGACTTTCCCTAGTATTAGGACTGCAGCAAAGGATTCTAAATTAATTTGGGGTTTAGATGGGAAAGGAAATTGCGAGAATAGATTTGGCAAGTATGTGGATATAGGGCTTGTGTGGGAAGAGTCCACCAGGTGGATTAGAAATCCGATGTGGTCAGAAATCTTATATGAAAAGAAAGACCAGAAGAGATGTTTTCTTTTAGTACAATGGTGGACCAGAAGGTATTTTATGATTGTACTGAATTATTTTGAAATAGACTCGCTGTCTATTGACCCCAAGCGGTTCTAGAATTGACTGGAATCTGGCGTGGCTTAATTGCATGACTTTTGGAGAACCTTTAATTACTTCAACCCCTAATTATGAGAATGGGCATTTCTAGAACGAAGTAATTTATCAAATAAAATAACAATGACTCTTGTGTAGCTAAAACTATCTAAAATGATACAAATTTTAGGTTCATTTATTCAAACTCTTAATTTACACATAAGAGTTTGAATAAATGAGAAAGGCAGTAAAACATGGTATTGCTTGCTTAGCAGGTTGAGTTGGTGATAGGATGGAGGAGATGAGGGATGTTTAATGCTATGGCCTGGTACAGAAGAACTGAACTCGGATCATATATACCCATGGAATAAGATAAATGTGAATGTGATGATCATTGGCTTATATAAATTATAAAGTTACAAATATTGTTATGGTAAATAGCATTTATTTTGGCACCTATTGTGCTAGAATCTACTTGATTTGTTTGAAAGCTTAATAACCAGTGTATTATGTTTTCCATTATTCTCAGGTGGTTCATTTGTACAAGAGAAAGTGGATTGAAGAAACCACTTATCCACACTTTACAATGATTGGTCAAAGTCTGGGTTCTATGTATCTTGCATGGGAGGCTTTGTGCAAGTTTACCCCTTTATATTACTTTGACACAAGTGGATATGCTTTTACATATCCACTTGCTCGATTGTTTGGATGCAAAGTTATTTGCTATACACATTATCCTACTATTAGTTCAGACATGCTAGCTCGTGTTCGTCAACACAGCCTGATGTATAATAATGATGCCTTAATTGCAAAAAGGTTTAATTTCTACCTATTGGATTTTGTATACTTTTTGCTTCTTCTAGTTTAATCGTACTTCTGCATTTTCCGTTTTCCCTCACCTGTTAATGATGCTATTGGTTTTATATTTTCAATATTTCATAAATTTGAATGTTATAGCCTATTCAAATTGTTGAGGGTGAGAGTAGATGTGAATTGATTTTTTCAGTAATATTTTGGTATAGAAATTGGTAAAGTTGAAGTTTTTGTATGTGAAAGCTCATCTTTTGCATACTTCCTTTTACCCTTCAATGCATACACACTTCTATGCTATTATAATATTCGCTAAATTCATACTTTATTTAACCTCTTTCATATGTTGAGTAATCTAACAGTTATTTTCTTGCAGTGTTTGGCTTTCAAGGTGCAAAATAATCTATTATGCATTCTTCAGCTGCTTGTATGGGATTGTAGGATCTTGTGCACACCTAGCTATGGTCAATTCATCTTGGACCAAATCCCATATTGAAAATCTTTGGAGAGTTCCAGATCGTATTAAGCGAGTTTATCCTCCTTGTGATACCTCAGGACTCCAGGTTTGCAATTTGTTCTTTATAGTCCTACAGTTGTTGTTATATTGTCAAGTTCCTATTGTCCACATTTCTTTTGGTTGGATGGATAACTTTCCTGTATTGCATGCTACTTTGTGGCATTGAAGCCTCTTATGGCCTGTTTCTTCTATGTTTCACCCCAACGTAGTATATATATTATTATTTATTATTTACCAAATGTTTAAAATGTCAGCACTTAATATGAGCATGATATTACATGTTTGTGTGTTGTTTTTTGGAGTTTTGTAATCACCAGTGGATTCTAACTGGTAAGCAATATGGGCAGGTACTTCCCTTGGAACGATCAGCAGAAGTTCCTGTACTAATATCTGTTGCACAATTTCGACCAGAGAAGGTGGGCATACTCCTATCAATATTGTGAACAAGAGGTACAACCTTTTTATGTGGCTCATTTGAGCCTTTGAGAATTTAACCAATTTGACATTTTTTATTCAAATATAGGCCCACACTCTTCAACTTGAGGCTTTTTCAGCTGCCATTAAGAGATTAGATCCTAGCATGCCAAAACCTAAGTTTCAAATTGTGGGTAGCTGTAGAAATAAATCAGATGAAGACAGACTTCAAATGTTAAAAGAGAGAGCAATTGAGCTGAATGTGAATGAACATGTGGAATTTTACAAGAATGTAACATACAGGTTAGTACGTGTGGATTTCCCAGTCTTTCCCTCCTTCTAATTATCATAAGAAACACCTCTGCTGAATATAATGTTTAAAAAGTTATATTCTGCAGAATATAATGTTTAAAAAAGTTATATTCTGCAGAATGCATACTCTTTATTCCTTAGTTAATGGCATGTGATAGTTGTCAGTCCAGTTAGCATTGAGTGCTGACCCAGACATTGATGATTTGGTCTTATTTATTATTTTATGTGGGCAATCAGTTAGATTATGTACTGGTTACTAAAGAAACTTCAAATTGTTTCAAATTTTTAGTCCTAAATGACTTGCTTTGCTCCCAAGCTTATGTACATTAGGTTTTGTTACTATTTATTAGTTTAGGTATAAGCATGTACTTGACATTGATTACTAGTTCATGCATGAAAACTTGTTGGTTCTTTTGGCTTTGGCAAGGGTACCAAATCACGAAAATAAAGTTGTAAAAAGATTGCTGGATGCCAATTATCAATTTAATATGGTTAATACTATTTAGACTACAAAATTGGGATTAAAGGGAGCTAGCTCTAAACAACTATAGACAAAAGATTTAACTAAATTGAAATAGTATTGAACTGAAAACAGAACAAAAGCGAATATTTCACTGAAGAATCTCTAGAATTTTTTTTTTTTTTGGTGTGGGGGGG